AAAAAAGTGTGCTTTAAAAATTCTTAAACTTCTTTTAAGATGTTTAATATTTCCTTAAAAATTTCGGATTGGATTTATCTTTCTAAGAAATAATAATAATGTACAACTAACATGTTTTAAATTAAATTTTTAATTGCCTTAATAGAACCTCTATCTTATTTTCTTTATATTTTCATATCTTATAAATAGCAATAAATAAAATAGCAATCACTTGTCACTTCTCTCTCAACCATAGGCTGTTAAAGTTAATTTAAAAGTCCAAAATCAAATCCCATTCTGTTTAAAAATTACCTCAAATATCCAAGGATCAGTAGATCCTATTCTTTTTCAGTCTTCCTCCGGAATGTAAACGGCCCCTTCCGCTTTTTGTTCTCCTGGGTGCTGCTCTTCATGTCCTTATGCAAAATTCACATCCACAACAATCGCCCTAAACTTTTTTTTTGCCCTGCATATACATTACGCTTTTGTTCCAGTTTCAAGCCACGAAAAAAAATAAACGAAAAACGAAAAGCATGAAAAACGCGCCAATATATCGCAGCGCGGAAATAATGCAATTTGTGTGTGAACTTTTTAACGCACTCGTAGTTTTTTATACCCGCTCGGGACGCGAGTTTCCCAAACATAAATATTTACGTACGAAGTCGAGTCCTTTTCTGTGTGTGTGTGTGTGTGTGTTTGTGTGTATAATGCGGGTAAGCTCGGCAAAATCCTGCTCCTCTCACGAACGGCAAACAACTGAGGACCCGAAGCGAATGCTTGTCAGTTAAAAGGCGCGCGTTCTCTCATCTGTTAGCCAACAGGCTCTGTTAACCGGCAGGACACTGTTGCCGTTACTTCATGTGAAGGAGAAGGTCCTTCTGACAGCTTTCCCTAATATTAAATTATTGAAATCAAATTTAGTGACACCATCCGCATGTATGCCCCAAGAAAACCTTATTCAATTTCCTTGTACAAAAAATATGCATGTAATTATATTTTAATTAAAGCCTGGCATACTTTTCGGCTGCGGCTGGGAAGTGGCACATGCAGCCGCAATCCAAAATGTCACATCTAAAGTGAAGAATATAATTCATGCTTATCGGGCGCCCCCCTCCTCTCTGCCCCCAGCAAATGCAGACCAATTAATTGGAACTTTAAACAAATGGCCGCGAATAAGCAAGCACTTACTGAAAAGCACTGAGGGAAATGGGTAAGCCATGGTAAATGTTGCTTAAAATATTATTTAAAATTCTTTTTTTAGAATTAAAAGTCCGAAAGTTGACAAAAAAATCTAAAATATTAATCTTCCTTTGCCTAACCAGACCTTATTGAATATATAATGAATATCCCGTAAGCTTCTCGAATATGCAAATATTCAACTTCATCCTTTGATGACTTTTCTCGCGGTGCAGCCATTGTATTTCATCGCATGTCAAATGCATATTTTACTATTAAGCGCCATCGTTGTTGTCCTTGTCGTCCTCGCTGATGGTTGTTGTTGCCCCCGGTATCCTAGTGCGCTACTTGGGGCGCAGTTGTTAACGAAAACGGATTCCGGAAGCCGGACGCCCGATACGGATATAAGTGCACCGTGTACGGCCAAGTGCAGGCAATGGAAATGTGAAAGGAGAAGGGAGAATAGAGAAAGGAGAGTGAAGAGTGAAGAGCAGAATATGGAGGACATCGAAATGATGGCGGAGTGTCCGGCAAAGCCACGATTCGTTGTGGCATCTCCACGGACACGTGCACATGTTGATGGCGACACAGGACACACTCACACTAAAGACGACACACAATTTTGTCGCCTCTCCAGAATTTGACGTTTTTTTACGATAGTTAACCCCGGGACCCGCGCTTTGTCCTGTCTCCTGGCCTCCTCTAGATCCTTTCTCCTTCCTCCTTGACTATTGATTTTTACTTGGAAATAAATTGGTTTCGTTTGTCTGTTTAGCTATGTCTGTGTTGTCATTGCTATTGCTTTTTGGTATTGGTATGTCAGCGTCACTTTTTTGGTAGAATTCGGCACTTCTTACTTGCCCGCACTTTTGGCCAGAAGTTTCCTTCAGCAATTATTGTTGGAATTATTTTTCATTTTGCCGGGGAACGAACACAAGCATCCCACAGACGCTTTTCATCCCCGTCATCGCAAATGGCCGGAACTATTGTTATTAATACAGAGCCAGTGAATGTTTTTCCTGCCATTTCTCTTCCTTTTATTTTTGCTGCAAGAAAAATTGCACACCAAATGAAAAGTGAAAAGCCAAGCATTAAAGTTGGTCGAAGAATGTTTAAAGAAATTTCATTTGCCGAGAGGCCCAAGGAATTGCAACAAGGGCTGGCTACAGTCAGAGATCGGCTTGGTTCAATGAAGAATTTCCGGAATTTAAGCCTAAATGAATTAAAAAGCTAATAGAGTTTTTCAGATATTTTTAAAAGCAACTGACCCTCTTTAAACTCTAGTATTCTGTTAAAAGCATTAAAGTTGTATATTTTTTTCACAAAATTTGTCCCCAAAGAATGTTAAATTCCTATAAATATGGCTATAACAAAAGAGGTAGCTCCCATTCCTACCATTATTTAGCTTGTTTTAGTTCTAACTTAATTGAAATGCCCGCCTCTTCCGGCTTACAATTTCCATGGAACTCTGGACTCTGGTCCTTGTCATTTTCGAGGACTCACTCGCATATTTTGGCAGCTACGTGACACATGCCGTGACCATGCTCCGGGAGCTGCAAACAAAGTAATTTTTTTATATTCCGCCGCCGTTGTTTGGCTGCTTAAATATGGACATGGCCACCCCTCACAATCCGGGGCCACTCCGAATCCCGACAAATAGGAAAGGTATCCCCGCAAACGTATTTACATTGAAACGGCCACAAAAGGGTAGTTGTGTTTGTCTGTCCCCGACCGGGGGAAAAGCGGGTCAGAAGTGGGCCCAAATGCGCTACAGTTGGTTGGTTGGTTGAGTTATGGCCAAATAAAAGACGTACAGAGAAGCTAATTTTGTGCATAGTTTATACGGATCATAAAAGTAAATTGCACGGCCACTGAGCTTAGGGTTATTGGCCCATTAGCCCGATGCGGCTATATAAGGGCTTTATCTCAGTAAAGTACACTGGGTTATCTGCACCCGCATTACCCGCCAGCAGTTTGATTTCGAATTGTTTGAAAAACACAGTCACAGTTTCCAGTTGAAGATCAGATAAATTAGCAATTCATTGAATAATAAGTGTAACCTTTAAATTCTTTAAGACAAGCGGAAATGCTGCCATCACCGCCACGTTTCAATTATTTAAACCTAACAAACTGTTTATGCATGTTCGGCATTTTACGATTCTGCTCAAATCTCGCATTTATTTAAAAATTTATTGCCCCGCCAGCTACATTTTGCGTGCCTCTCAGATCATCATCAAAACCAAGCGGACTCTCCACACCGCTTTACGACTTGGCACATGGAGGACAATGGCAGGATGCTGATACACCAAAGAGCCACAAACAATTCTGGGGACCCAAAAAAAATATAAGAGACACATTTCCACAAACGCATTTATAATTAGATTTTCAGGAAAATGATAAATAAAAGTTTTTGATTACACAGCAGCTTTGTGTCGCTGTTGTCAGCAACAGCAGCAGCAGCAGCAACAGCAGCAGCTGTACCTGGAGCACCTGGGTTTCGAGTGATGACCGCAGCTCCCCAGCCAAAATGGGTTGACATTAGCATAAGGATAAGCGCTGTTAAAGACCGAAATCGGAGCTAAAATGTGTGTGAAAACAAAGCTTTACGCCACTGGGATTTCATCCTTCAGCCGCCTGAATTTTATAGCACTTCGCACATCGCATACTAACTCTCCTGCGTGCGTCCCAATCTTTTTAATTAACTACTCATATCCGCCACCGAGCGTGCCTAATTGATATGAGAGGAGGAGGCCAGGGCAACGGGTCTCATGGTTTCCTGGCTTCCCAGTCTCAGTCCCAGACCCCTGTGTTCCCTCTGTGTCTCCTCACGCCTCAATGGAGCTATGTGCGTGTTAGCCAATTCCTGGTGTCTGTGTGAATCCTGCTCCTGCTGTCCCTGCTGTTCCCTCTTCTCCTGCTCCTCCGCGTGTAAGTGTCTTAATGAATTTCCATTTCCAGCAGACACTCATTGAATTCCCGCCCATAAAATCGCAGCCAAAAGCAGAAATTAACTTGCCTCATGTCAAATGTTAATGAGCAGCGAAAGCACAGTGTTTTCGGCACTTAATTTGTCTTTTTTTTATGTGTATATTACTAATTAATTTATACATAGATCTAATTATATTTCTAAGCTAAAAAAGGGGGGATTGTAAATTATTATAGGTATTATTTGTATGCTTAACTCTTTTTTATTCAGAGTTTAAGGGAAATGATCATTGGTAATTTAGTCACAGAACTCATAGAAATTGTTCCCCTAGTTCTAAGAAAAATTGTCTTAAAAAAATCGTCAATAAATATAAACCATAAAATTAAGAAATTGCATTTTAAATATAAGAAAAATTTTGCCTTTATAGATCAGAAAAACTAGAAACTGGGAATATAGTGAATACATATTAATTAGTTTAAACAACATAAATATCTTTTTCTATTGCATTTGTCAAAGTCTCCGCTGCTCCCATTTACAAACAACAAACTAAATTTACACTAATATGTTACCAATTTCCATGCCTTTTTGAAACAAAGCCTAACCCTGACCTTTAAAAACCATTTCATAGAAAGTTTCGTCATCAAGTTTTTGTCTGAAGACTAAAGTAAACTTTAAAATATCTATTTGACCTGAGATCTATAGGAAACTACAAGTTTGCCCAATTTCGGGACCACTGTTCGCCGGCCCAGACGTCATGAATGTGGAGGCACACTCGTCGCAGTGTTCCCATTAAATATTCAATATCAAATGCGCGGCATTGTCTCCGCTCCAGCCAGGCTTAAACCCAACTGACTGCCACTATATAGACCCACTAATTAATTGCCCCACCAATTGGATAGCCCGCAAATCGGTTCAATTAACACCAGCCGACTGACTGGATGGCTTTACTCGAATGGAAGAATGGATGAGCACATCATGTACAATATGAGCTATGTTACTTAGGACTAGATCGGAGCTCCTGCTCTGCGGGATCTTAGATCTGCTGGGCGCGCACGGCACGGTCAGCCAGTTCCTCGGGGGTGGGGTGCTCCTGGATGTACTGAATGGAGCGCAGGATGGCCTCTGGGATTGGGGGAGGAGTGGGCAGGAGGTCGGACTGAGGGTGGAAGCCATTCTCATCGGCGGTGTAGATCACCTGGACGGGAACGCCCTCGGGGGAAATGTAGGAGTAGGAGCCGCGGGCATAGTGACCGGACTGACCCTCCTCCTGGAACTGAATGCCACTGGACTGCTGCACATCGAAGGCATAAGTGCCATCGGTGTCCTGGTTGGTCAGGAACTTGGTGATCGTATCATCGTTCAAGGGGGCGGCCAGGGCACATCCCAAAACGGTGGCGACGAGGAGCTGTCCAAGAAAGTCAATTGAGCTGCTATCCAGCTATAAAGCCAAACTCTATTATCCACTTACGAGCTTGTACATGTTGGCTGCTGTTGTCGGGCTGTTGACTCTGAGGTTAATGCTGTCACTCTGGCCCCCGGATTGACTATTTATAGTGGTCGCTGGCCAAAGACAAAGCCACTGCAGACTCCGATATGCAAACAAGTCGAGCATGCGGAGAGCGACCCATATTTCGCCCAATCGAACTGCTTTGGGCCGCACGTTTCGAGTCATTAATGCAAGACATGGCCATGTCGCATTGGTATTAAGTTGAATAATAGATACTCTTTCTAATTATGTGCAGACAATAGAAACTATCAATCATTTCGGGCAGAAAATTAGCTAAAATACGGTGCTATGTATATATAAGAAAATGTTTAATATTATAATGAAATTATTGAAAATGTAATATTGACACAAACTTTATTAATAATAAACTTTTTCATTGAATATTGCAGATTTCATTTATATATTTTCCAGTTAATTTTGTTTATTTATTATTTTATATATATTTTGTATAACAGATTCTTGATTCTTTTTATCTAAATAATATGACTTTCTTTTTAGCCAAATAAATATAAATTTATTACATTTTAGTTAGTGTATTGTATGCATTTTCATTGATTTATTTCCGAAATTCGATATTCCGCTAAAAACAAAAACTTTGCAAGCCCACTGCCTAAATTAGTATACCCATTAAAGTCAGCAACTTGGGTGGAGCTGATGACACAATCTCAATGCATCAAAATCAAAATCAAATCGAGCCGGCAAACAACAACAATGGTAAACTCTATCGAGATTATCAACAACAACCCTCGACGGCTTTAGACAGGAGTAACAACAACGGCGGCAACTTGTTAATTTAATCAACTCAACAATAATATTTGAAGTTACCACATTTCTCGGGGCCCAAAAAGCGAGCCAGCATGGGGCGAAGGGCCGCTGCCAATTTGCATAACATAGCGTGCATTTATTAATTTCTGATACTGATGTCTGATGTCTGCTGTCTGATTGAACTTCCCCAGCAAGTATCGATGGAGTTAAACCAGATCCGTACACTTTAAGGAAATCTCCAAGGGGAAGATGCCGCAGTGATGATGCATGTGGGCGATGCGATGCGGAGCGTTGCGATGGAATCTGCACAGTGAAAAAATACTACTCAACTATTTACAGTCTCCATTTGGCAACTGAATTATATTATTCAATTTTTTTTTTCATTTTAGTATAGAGCAGACACCATGGAGACAGAGAAGCGATTATTATTGAATTAAATCATTTGATTATTAATTGTTTATTAATCATAACATTTATGTGATATCGTAGTGTGAGGGTCTAAAAATAAAATGGGTATTTACCAAGCTTTGCTGAATTAATAAATACTGAAAAGTTAAATTTAACTTTATGTCTCATAGCTTTTGAATGAAGATAGAGAAGAGCTTTTAACTTAAAAAACTAACCATAAGTGTATTACATCTGCAGAAACCTTGAATTGGGGAATACCCAAACGTGTTTCTCAAAGTTCAAGTTCATCATTCATATTTATCAATCTCTGTTTTTTGGGGGAATACCGCTTTGATTTTTTTTATTTTAAAATATATTTTTACACCTCAGAATGTTGCCATAAAAAGCCAATAGATAAGCGAGCTTTCTCGTTATTTTCTCACTGTGCTGATGGCCCCAGGCATGGCCATATGCTCTCGTGGAGGCAACGGCATTCATAGTATAAACAACCATATTAAATTGTATTTTTCTTTTATTACATTATTATTATCTCTGGCAATAAATGTCAACGTCAGTCGAGCCGACACAGGACACGGAATACGGGACACGGCGGAGACGATGGGTCAGAGGACGCGGCCCGGGAGCATGTTGATGTAAATGTATGAGAGGGCCTAGACTATATATATACAGTGCGTGGTGCGAGTGGGTGTGCCTCGAGATGTAGTTGCTCCTCCGATGTTCTTTCTGCTGTTTGCTGGATACTGGATACTGGCTGTTGGATGTTGGATGTTGGATGCTGGGTGCTGGGTGCTTTGCCTATGCAAACAGACAGGACATGACACACACAGGGACAAGATGGATGCGGATGCTGACACTATGGGTGCTGGGGATGTATTGGGGCACATGGCCCTGACTTGCTCCTAGCTTAGACCTTCCTGTCGTAGGGCAGACCCTGACCCACGGACCCGGCGGCAGGCGCCAAAAGGGCACCAGCTGGCTGCAGATACTGATTGCCCTGCTCCTGGCCGTGCTTGTGGTGGTGGTCGTGGTGTTCGTACTCGCCAGTCTCCTCCGGGTGGTTCCGGTTCCATTCCAGCGACTTTAGGATGGCCTCCGGAATAGGGTGCGGCGTCGGCAGGTGTTCGCCCTGCGGCTGGAATCCGTTCTCGTCGGCCGTGTAGGTCAGCTGGATGAGCTGTCCCTCCGGCGTGTAGTACTGGGAAGAGCCGCTGGCATAATAGCCGCCGACTCCCTGCTCCTGCTGGGCAATCCCGTTGGACGTCTCGAACTGGTAGTTGTAGCTGCCATCATCCTGCTTCAGCTCGTTGACAAAGCTCCGGATCTCGGCATGGGCATCCGGGGAGTCCGAGGGACGAGCTTGGACGCCGAGCAGCACGGAGACGGTCACGGCCACAAGTACAACGACGTTCTAAAGGAAAGGAGATGATTGACTGATGTATCCGATATCCAAGAAGGAGGCGAAGGAGCCGACTTTGACTTACGATCTTCGACATTTTTGCCTGGCTTGGGTTGAGATTTTTTTGTGTATGGTTGTTTGGTTGGTTTAACCCTAAGAGCTAAGCTGTGTTTGATGCCTCAGTGCCCTCGACCCGGCACTTTTATACCCCAGAAAATCCGAATTGATCTCCAACGAAAGTGAGGAAAGTGGTGTGTGCAGCCATTAGACCCGATGATGGTGATGATAATGATGATTGGAGCGACTCATCACATCACCGCATCGCCTCACATTTCGTAGCCGAGAGCCAGCAACGGTTGCAACGCCAATTATCTCGTCGCCAGCTGGCTTCCCATTAAGAGTTTTGAGTGAAAACGAAATCCGTAGCCACACTTGCCTGCTGACCCTTCAACTCCCTCGCCCCCGTGGGTCAAGAAACTCTGCGCTGCCGGCGCTTAAGTAATTAAGTGTTTGTGTTAATTCATTAATTATCTGCGGCCAAGTTACATCCGAGCATATACCTATATACTTTTACGAAATCTGTAATGGACTCGCAGCGCAGCTCGCAGTTCCCATCCCATTTATCATGCCGCCGAGCATGGCATAATGCCGTCGGATCGAGATAAGTGGTCGCAATAAACAGATATGGCTCGTGCTGGGTGGGATGGGTCTACAAATTTATTGGTAGATTGGTGGGTTCGCTGGGCGTGAAATGGGCAACGGAACACCTCCAACCCCCAGCTAATGGTTGCTAATTTCAGAGGGGAAGATGCTAATCGATCAGAATATGAAAGCAGCTTGGATATATCTTTTCATCGGCTTCAACTGTGGGTAAACTGGTTCCGCTCGTAAATTTTCTTATGAGGTCAGGTAGATTACTACCTGTAAAAGCACAAATTGATATATATATGGATTAATTTGTAAACTTAAATGAAGGGACTCTTCAATATAACATTATGAATTTCAAAATAAGCATACATTTTTCCCTTAAAGTCTCCTGAAAAAGAATAAATAATTTCCAGAGCCTCACAACTCGGGAATTTTCCTCCTGCACATGTTTAAATTTAATCTCCCTTCCCATGAGCCTGGAAAAGGCAATATTACACCCAGTATAATGCTGTGAAAGTGCATTAAATTTGCATCTGATGCACAGACTTCTCTTTTGCGGACATACATAAATAAGGCAATATATTTTTGCTCGTTATTTTTACTGTGACACTTACACGCTTGTCCATAAAAAGTTCTTTCAGCTTCGTTCTTTTAAATAAATAAAATGAAGCTGCCTGCTGGGAGGGCTTCGCATAATTTAATTCAATCGAACCACAATGAAAATCTTAAAGATACAAACGCCCAGATAAGACATAAAGATGGCCAGACCTTTTAACTGCCTTAATTTGTCCATCGCCTGCGAATCAAATCAATTAGTAGTGCCATGTTATGGCATATTTAAGCCGAGATGGCGAAGGGAAACGGACTTGAAACATGCAAATTGAATCAAGTTTTTGATTAAAAATCCATCACCAGAAATGCAAATATTCATGTAGCCATCCGCCCAAAAATAAAATGACGGAAAGCCAATTAATCGAGTTATTCAATAAATCTGTGTGCTGGCTCAAATTGAAGCTACAAGTGCGAATTGGTGGCCGAATTTGGCCCGCCGTCAATTGCCAAAGCGAATCGAACCGAAAGTTGCAACTACCAACAATTAGCAGACCCATTTCGTCTCTATGGATCCAAGGTCGTCGCTTGCGGCCAGATTTTCGAAAGTCGTTGACTTTGTTTGGCGGCAAGCCATCCGTCCATATAAAAAAAACCCCCCAAGGGCCGACCTTCCACGCCCAACGCCAACGCTTTCTGCTCGATATTCGATTGGGATTAAGATATACTGTCTCTACTGTATCTGCAACAGAACTGCCCAGGCCCAGTATGTCGCATCTTAAGCGTGGATTGACTAACAATCAAATGAAACTGAAACTTAAGCTCAAACTGAATGAGACTGTGTAAACGGCTTGCGTTAACGTGGCCAGAAAGTCTGCAGGCGTCGCCTCCGATGACAGTGTTTTAATTAATTAAATTCGCTAAATGGATCAGCTGAGTGAATGTAGAGCAACGGTTTGGTCATAAAAATTCAAATGCCAATCGCTGACCAGACCAAAAAGCAGAGAGAGAAAACAAAACAGTCCAAATAGCTTTAAAAATGTATCGATAATCCATTTTAAATAATTTAAATATAATAAAAATAATAAGACAAATATATATATAGCAAATAATTTGTGAAAAGTGTTATCAAAAGGGTCTAAAAAATAATCTAAAATTCATCAACTATTAATTTAAAAACCAAAATATTATTAAAATAATTTAAAAAGCTCTAAGTCACCTTAATTTTTTCTCCGTGCAGATGCTGCAGCGGTCGTAAAATATATATATGCCCAAAGACATGCCCAAACTAGGGCTAAAACGCTGCCATCAGTGCGACCTTCGGCGGGACTGGCTGCGAGCAGACCGGACTGGACCTGGACGAGTTGCCGCCACCGAATGTGGGTCAATTAATGTGGAGCAGGTGAAGAAGAAACCGGAGAAGGAGTAGGAGTCGCCGCTTTGCAGCATGTCCCCTTTTTTATACTCCGCTGATGCCTTGGCTGCTTCTTGTCTCGGCTTAATGCGCGCGAAGATGGATTGCTGCCCTAATGGATGGATGGAGGGCAGGAGCAGCATTCGAAGGAGAAGGAACAGAGGAAGGAGTCGGGTTAAGTACAGCGGAAGCGGCTTAAGAAAACGCCATCGAATCGTAACAACTTTTGCTTTCATTTAAAGCCGCCCAAGCGGTAGGCACCGGACAATTGTGCCGGCCAGCCCAAAAAAAGAAAAAAAGAGCAAGCCAAATTGCCGAACAGCCGGTTTGAAGCATAAAAGCCGAAAGTAACACCAAAAAGGCCAGCAAAAACAGAGGGCAGCAAAAAGCAGATAATGCCCCCAATGCTTCTGAGAGCATCCCCGCCATGCGACATCGACATCTCGGCCACATTGCCATCGTCGCACATTCACTTTTGCCCCCCCAGATCCATGCCCGGTTCCCAAGTTCACATCCACATTCAAGTCCATGTCCAAGACCAAGTCCCGGTCTGGTTGCCAACCAATCCATGTATTTATAAAAGGCCAACACAAATCTTATAAGGGAAACAGCATGCGCTGCGAGTCGAGGCGCTCTTGTTGCCGCTGTCGACGATTTTGTTGCCACTTTAGTGATGGGCAGATATGGCGTAAAATAAAAAAGGGAATACAAATTAAAGGGAGTTGGTTAAGGGATACATGATTAAGATGAAGGTTTATGTTAGGTTTTTTTAGAGGAAAGGGGGCGAGGGTTTAACTTTAAGATTTTTTACAAAAACTTTAAATTGAGTTTAAACTTCATTTATAACAAAATTTCGTACATTTTGTCTGCATTTTTAAGTTTCTAAAAGAGAAATCCCCTTTTTATTTAAGATCTGAAGAAATGATGTGGATAATAAACATATTCTAAAATCCTAAAAAAGGTTTTACAAATTCTGTTAAATTTCTATAAGTGTAAGTTCTAAATTTCATCAAAAATGAAATAGCAAAATGCCTTAAAATTTTCTTATTTTTCAAACCAACTAAATTTACTTTAAATTGCCCCAAACTTATTGCGGAAAATTCAATCAACTATCAGCTCTGCGAATAGTATAAACTTTTAGCTGTAATTGACTCCCTCGAGCTGCGTGATTCCCGTGAGTCACGGCCCGGCTCATCACAAGTTTTCTTATCAAAACTTAATACAAACTTGCCCACTCCCCGCCGGCTCGCCTCGCCCCCCTGCCGGTAAACTGTCGTACTTTCGGACAGTCTGCCAAGCTGGGAGCCGCGCGCGGCAAGGTCGTTTGTCTGCTTCGCGCTCTGCTCTGAGGTTGCCAGGCAGGTTACTCCTCTCCCTTTGGCTGCTCCCCTGCTCGTCCTTGTTAAGGTCTTCGTCCTGGACTTTTTCACTTTTGGGCGCGCTCGGTGATTTTGTAATAAATGAATCCGTTGACCTAGCATGTGAGGTTCTTAATCGATTTTACCAATTCTGCGAACAATTTATTATAAAGTTTCGCATATGATTTGGCAGAAGGTCCTCACCGGGACAGGAGTAGGCGCAACATTTACAAATGATCTTAGGTTAAAGTTCACACTTTAAAGTATATTCTCAGGGAAGTCCCGTCTTCAATAAGTCTAGTATTAATTGCGCTAAAAACCCCTCCAGTAAGGCAACTATTTAATGCCATTGTATTTTTGCGTAGGTGCTAATCAAAAATTAACCCCCACCGCTCGGTTTTGGAATTGATTAACCGGAAAGTCGACCGACCACAGCTTGAACAAAAAGGAGCATAAAGTTTATGGCCAAAAAACTATCGCACACTCACAGACACACTGCGCGGCGCAGTCACCGAAATATAATGTATCGGCGGAAGAGACTCTCCGTCTTGGCCGGATTGGGTTTTTAGTGCCCTCGCGTATGTGTGAGAGGGGCAGTTCATGTTCATGTGCTGCGAATTATAAGCTATAGGTTGTTGTTGCTGCTGCCGCAGGTCGCCGACTGCGAGTGCCCGGCCCAAAATGATTGGCGTGCCAAAATGCTATAAATGCGCCGCCCGGCCAATTCAGTCACATTCATTCTCGTTGCGAGTTCACAGTGACAACAAGCCCAAATCCAAGCCCAAATCCAAACCCCAATCCAGCCCAAAAATGAACAAATTCGTAAGTGAAGAAGTTCGCCAAGCGAGAAGCCTCTCTAATCCCCTCTCCGTATCCTTCAGTTCGTCCTTGCCGTTGCCGCCTTGGCCATCGCTTGCGTCCGCGCTGATTCCTTCGATGCCGCCGCCGAGACCAGGGAGTACAAGAGCGACTTGAAGGAGGACGGAAGCTATGCCTACCAGTACCAGACCTCCAATGGCATTGCCGGCCAAGAGTCTGGAGCGGGCGGACAATATGCCAGCGGCTCCAATGCCTACTACGCTCCCGATGGCCAGCTCATTCAGCTGATCTACACCGCGGATGCCAATGGATTCCATCCATCGGGCGCCCATCTGCCCACTCCTCCTCCAATCCCGGCGGCCATCCTCAAGTCGCTGGAGTACATCCGCACCCATCCGCACCAGGAGTCGCGACAGGGTCAGGGACGATTCTAAGGGGAGGGCTGGTTTCACCACCACATGTTGCGCGTTATTCGTCTTAGGCTTAAGTCATCCGAAAAAATAAACATCGTTTGAGACTACAAACATTCCCAAAAACACACTGCAGTCGTTGTTAAATTCAGATAAGCATCCATTTACATCTGGGGCATTGCCGAATATTTGCTGATTTGTCGGTTTGATGGAGTTTCGGTTTTCTCTTAAATATATATTTTTAATTTTTATTGACTTGCAGCTTGCAAGGCAGTGATAGAATCATTTTTGACCCTTCAAATCTTATATATTATTGATCAGCGAGTCAACCTTGTCATGCCCACTAGGAAAATTAACAAATTTTTTCAGTTACATCATTAATTTAAGTTTTTAAATGCTAAAGTTTAAAGGCTGATTTGTTAACCTAATTAGAGCTAAGACAGAAAAGCAATCCAAATTAAAATGAGTGCATTTTTGTAAGTTATTTATTATCCATTTCCATTTCGATCCCATTGTCCCATTGCTTTTTCTTTATTTTCTACTTTCAATTCAAACCTTTCAAAGTTGGCAGAATAATTTACTTAAATTTATTTTCTTTTTCTATTTTTCTTTATTAATTTATTTAAGTTCATTTATTGCATTTAACTGATGCCTCTAATTTTGGATTTGAGCTTTAGGAAATCTGCTGGGATAAACAATACGTCACATTAAATAGTTTAAAATAAATACTTTTTTAACTAAAACACGAACATACTATTTTTGAACTCTGAGTTGAATACAAACATATTTTAAAATTTGAATGCTTGGCGCCAATTGGAAAGTTTTCCGGAAACCAGGGTGCCATTCAAGTCATCGACAAGCTTTTTACGAGCTTTGACAGTCACCACGAAAGGCAGGAAATAAAGCAACAGAGTTGCTACTAAAATATCAATATTGTTTATATCGTCTATCGTCTTGGCGGAATTTTTAAAAGTTTCTTTTTAAAATAAAATAAAAGTTTAAGCTTTAAAAATAATGAAGGAAAAAAAATTTGCAAGTTTTATTTAATTTTTTAAAGGCAACATTTGGATAATATAAATTTGATTCATTCATTCTTATTTTAACAAAGTAAAGTATATATTTAAATATATTATAATAGAAAATATCTTAGTAATAAATTATAGAGAATTTAAATTTTAAGATATAGAAAAATGCCTAAAAAAATATCATATTATGGTTCATAGTAGTTCATTCTTGTATTAAACATAAACAAGAAAGAAAGCTAACTTTGGCCAGCCAAATTAAAATATATCATAACTAAGCCAAAAATGCATTAATTTCGATTCGGAAAGCAGTTTTGTGTTAGTTTTTATTAATTTAAAAAAACTGCATACCAAATTTAAAATTTTAAGAAATCAAAATTTTTTGCCATTTTCGCTGATTTTAATGATGTAACCCCTTATCAAATTTTGCAAAAATGGCAAAAAAATCGATTTCTTCCGGACATGTCTAGAAAGATTCCCCTGTTGATGCTGATCAAGAATATATATGGTTTATGGGGTCGAAAATGATTCCTTGACTTATAAAAATATTATTTTGTATTATAAAATCGGATTTTTTATATTAAAAAACTTATTGATTTTTTCTAAAATTAAAAATATCATAACTTGGCCCAATGAGCATTAATTTTAAATCGGAAAACTGTTCTGTGCAAGATTTTCTACCCTGCAAGGGTATAAAAATATCGTAGTAAAAATGGTGAGTATAAGACCCAGCTCTCAGAAGAGAGATATTGTAGATTGTGGATCGTTGTGGGCTGTGGATTGTGGACTTTGTGGATTTCCGCTGCGATCGCGCTTCGTGTGCTTACCCGATCTGCCTTCGGCTTTGTTTTTTCCGCCCGATGGCAGCACTGGTCGTTTGAAACTCGAAATTCAGCAACTGAATTTCAGTTACAAATTGGCAGCGGCAGCGATCCGACGTATCCGACAGATACAGATACAGCTATTGATTCGGGAAACGTGCAACGATCGCGTTGAGAGTTGAGAGCTGAGAACTCCGCTGGCGAATTGCACATGCAAAGTGCCGCGGTCAGTCCTGCATTGCAATCGATTTTCGGTTTTGCGGTTTTTCTCGCCACAAGTTGGCTCGTTAGCTTGTGGCTTTTATTTTATTTTGGTTTCGTTTGGTTTGGCTTGTGAGCCTGCGCAACGGCGCAGCGGGTTCTGTGCGCGTTGCATTTTCAATAAACGCGTTTGCTTTTGGCACGCTGCGTGGGCGCCATTCCGTGTGTCTGTCTGTGTCGCGTGTGTGCATTAGCTAATGTGTTTGTATTGCTAATTAAAACAGCAGCAGCAGCGGCCACTACTGCAGCAGCCACTGCGGCAGCCACAAGAACAACACGAGCAACGAACGCGCAACAAAGTGTCTTCGATAAGTACGATTAACGAAAAGCATTCCGGATCGACAGCGCAGGTGTTTTCCCCCGCCGCACTTCCCATGGTGAGTTTTCCACGACAACAGTTTCCCGGGCTGTGTGTTATCAACCTGTTGTCCAGTGGCCTATTAAGCGCTCTTTTGTTTGCCCATTAGCGGTGGTCAGCTGTGATAATATTTATTACCAATTCCAATGCAGCTCGGGGGGAAGAAAAATTGAACGCCACAAAACTGGATCAATTACGCGGAACTGAGGTGCTGATAACACCAGGGCGCCCCCTTTTTTATATCTGGAATAATAGAAAAATATATAAAAAAAAAGGTCGATGGGAATTAATTTTATTATGAAAATTTAGATTATTTTCTTTCCAATTAATTTAATAAGAAATTCAAGCTTAATCTTCTTTGAGGAAAATCTTTAAGCTTTATAACTACGATTTAACGATTTTTAAAATTATACTCAAGTTTTATATGATTCATTTTAAGCTTAAAATTATTAGAAATAATTATAAAATGTATCACTTAAAATTGTAGAGAATCAAAACTAAACAAATCAAGTGCTTCCAAAAGAATTCTTGTAAAACTAAAACAAACTTAACTAAAAATTTTTAATAAATTTAATAAATTCCCTGTTTCTAATTTAAAATTATTCCCAAATACAACTCCCCATTAGTTCCTCATAGCCAAGTTACTCTGTACTCCACTTGTATGACGAAAATCGACGGTAATCGCAAGACAAATAAACAATTAATTAACGCGAGCATAATGCGGTAATAACGGAGCTCGCCTCCTGCTCTTTAAATCTGAAAAATCTTTAACTCTTAAATGTGTTTTTCAAGCGAGTATGCCGAGGGTTCCATTTGGTTGCTCGGGGGAATTTGGGAATTGGAAGCCGTGTTCAGATCTTTGCCGATACGAATCAGATTCGCATTTTTCATAGCCGCCCAGAGCCAAATATCGAGAACAAGTGGGGCGGCTACCTGCCTTTTTGATTCTAATTCGGATTCTGATTCCGATGCCGATTCCGAGAAGTCATGATATGCCCAATCTGAATCAAAGCGAACGGTCGGTCGGTCCCACCCCTCGGGGCTCGAGGCCAAAGAAATCGCAGGCAACTCTTCAGAGCTTCAAAGCGGCGGCTTAATTCAAATTGATTTCATTTCTCGTTCTCTCTCCCTCCGATTCGGTTTTTTTTTTTTGGCAAACAATTTGAAGTGTCAATTTGTGTTTATAAAACTAAAATTATTTATCAAGCACAGGCCATCGCATGTGGGCAGCGTAAACAGTTAAAAGAAGAAAAAGCCAGGCACGCATATGTATTTTGTTTGGTACACAGGGAAGAATTTACATGTCTAAGACAATTTCTTCAAGTTTTAAAAATGTATAAAATATGAAAATTAAGTTTAGAGTATTCCTTACAATATACAAGAATTTTTGAACCACAAATTTTGGCATTTATTGATTCTTTATGAAGGGAATTCCTTATAAATAAACTTCTTCCTTGAACCTAAAATCATATTAAAATGTATTATATATTTGGGTATTATCTCTCTTTATTTTCGGTGTACTCCGATCCATGTGCATGTGGATATATATCGCGAATAGCACTGTTGGCTGTTGGCTGCAAAGTCAATTGCCAAATATGGCGGACTTGTTTGTGTGTGGTTTAATGTCACACTCACACACGGGGCCGCCGATAAGTGTAACTCTCTGACTGTCAATAGCTGAATAAGGAAAGACCACTACTTGTTTCACCAAAACTCGCTGAAATAGTCACCCAACATTGGCGCTTCGCTAGCTGGCTTTCCTTTGTCTCCACACAATAAATATTGAAATTAGCATGCGTCCAAATAATTTATTCTCTAATTGTTATCTAAGCCTTTTGGCCCTAAAAGGCCACCATCTCCATCTCCAGTTCGATCTTAGGATGAGTGTGCCAGGCCCAGCCAAGCCACCCAAGGCAGATCAGAAAAGAGCTCTGAAAAGAGCGGGGATTAGCTGGAAATACGCTCTGACTAATTGGTCGAGAGCTTGACTAATGGCACTTGAACAATAATTAATTCGATTCTAACGATCTGCATCGGAATGTATTTAGTACTTATTATTGCGGGGTAAAATATGTACTTCGGCTTCCATTGATGAAAACAGTTGGTAGCTAGGCATTGATTTTATACAGTCACAGTTTGAAATTCCCTCTTTCGTTTTAAGTTTAAAATTTTAGCATAATCGTATCTGACATATTTTGGTGTCTGCTGTCGATAAGAAAGTGTTTAGCTATGCGAATATTATTCCCCATATTCTCTAACCCAAATGTTTATGATTTTATGGACCAAGCCTAATCTTGATCAATGTGATCTCTTAATAAATATTTGATTTTCACCTATTATGCTTTTACCATATTTTGAACTCAACAGATTTTGACTTGATTATGTTTCATTACCGTCAGGTGCCAACTAAATGCTATTCATTTGTTTTTCAACCATTTTTTCTTGTCATTCCGCCACATTTCTTCTGAGAAAATCGTGGGCTTGCCACGGCGAAGGGCAGGTAACACACTAAACCACTTCCACCTTATGCAATATCGCCGTTTCATTCTTTTGCGTCAGCAAGCCGAATGGAGAATACTAATAAAAATCGCGGCTCCCGCGCGTAATCCGCTGGCCAACCTACGATCGCAGA